CTATGTAGTTCATAGCCTTAAGCTCTGGGCCACCCTTCTGCCTCAGAGCCGCTAGGGTTATAGGCATGCACCACCACACCTGGCATGGCAGTGCAACTTCTGATTCAAGTTTTGGAACCGTGTATGAGTTGTACAGGTTCCTCTTTGTCAGTGTACATACTTCAAATCAAAGGTGTTTGTTCTTTCAGGCTTTTTAAGCCAGGGTTTCACGGTGAGTATACAGTTCAGATTGGCTTTGAACTTACTACGTAGCCCAGGCTGGCCTCAGACTTAAAAAGCGATCTTCCTGCCTCTCCTTCGCAAGTGCTGGGGATGTGCAAGGCCCGTGGTTTCATCCTTTGCCTCCCATTCTGCCCCATTGACTTTTTTTTTTTTCTCGGTACCAGCGCTCAAACTTGGGACCTTGCATGCACCAGGCAGGCGCTTATGCCACTGTGCTATCTCCCTGGCTCCCACTGATGTGAATTTTTTTTTTTTTTTTTTTTGCGGAACCGGGGATTGAACTCAGGCCCTTGCGCTTGCCAGGGAAGCGCTTATTCCACTGAGCCATCTCCCCCGCCTCTGATGTGAATTTAATGATAGCTCAGATCTGTGATATAAGATCCACAGTGCTCCTCACACACAGCCACACGAGGATGAATTTGCTGCAGTACTAATCCTGGTGGTCTGGGTGAACTTTCCGCAGCAGCTCCAGCCAATGGGAAAGCTGCTCGTGTGAAATAAGGATTTACAAAACTGGAGACAAGATGGAAATTTGATACAAAGGTGGGGAGGCAGCTGAAGCTCAAGGACAAGTTGGGGATATTTAAACTGATGAGGGGCTGGTGAGATGGCTCAGTGGTCTAAAGCACCTACTTAGAACAAGCTAAGCTAAGCAAAAGCACAGGGGCCGTGGTTCAATCCCCTGCACCACATGCCAGCCAGCCCCGCCCCTTGGTGGGCTGAACTGGCCACACACACACACACACAAAATAAATAAATAAAAATTAAAAAAAAAAAAAAAAAAAAAAACTGATGAGAACAAATACTGCACTTGATGTTAGCCAAAAGGCCGAGAAACAGTAAGTTGGGGATATTTAAGTCTGAAGACAGGTCCTTCAATATTCAAGATGTAAGAACAAAAACTTGGAAGCTGGGAGACAAAGCTGGCAGATGAAGCTGAAGGCCTGCCATCCTAGGACACTCGTGTGGCTGGGATGGGCCAGCCTGCTGCCATGGTTCTGTGCTTCATGGCTGTGTTCCTGAGCCCCTTCCCGAGCCCCTGCTGAGAAGCTAGCCAGACCCTGCACATGTGACAGCCACACAGTGCTTGCCCGATGCGACCCTGTTGCAGACAGCTGGCTTGGCTCACTGGGTACACTGACTCCAGGGTGCTGAGGCCATTCTGGGCAGTGTGCAGGGAGGACAGATGGATGCCCTGGCCTTGAGGAGGCAGATTCAAGGTGCTGTCTGCCACTGCTGCCCACCACAGTCCTGCACTGTGACAGCCGACTCTGTAGACCTCCTACAGTGACATGGGTGTTAACACGTAGATATACCAGTTTTTACTTATCTTGGGATGGATGCTGGTTGCAGCAAATAGAATTGTAAAAACAGGCAGTGAAAGGTGCGGAATCTCTGGACAGTAGTGGATGGCCACATTGAGCCACCTCTTCCATTAGGTTTAGCACCAACTCAGTCTGTAGTGGAACTAGTGCCAAACTAGAAAGCTCACCCAGCTTTGCTGGGATCAACGGCTGCTCAGTGTGGTGGCAGAAAGGGAAGTGGCCATCACAGTACTTTAAAGAATATCTGTCTAAGGATCGTCCAAGCAATTTTTTCTTCTCTCCCTCTTTCTTTTGAGATAAGCTATCCCTGTAGATCAGACTGGCCTCACACTCATGGTTATTCTCCTGTCTCAGCCTCCCCAGTGCTATTACTACAGGTCTGTGGTGCCAGACCCGGCTGCAATCCTGAGAAAACAAAAGTACCTCTATCCATTTTGGTATTGCTGGACTAGGAATACATACAGAGAGCAGTTATCTCAGAAGCAAATTCTGGGGATGGAGTTTAGCTTAGTGGTAGCACATGTGCTTACCACGTGTGAACCCCCTAGGGTCAGTCCTCAGCACCAAAACAGGAATTCTGGTGTACAGGGTTTTGGTGGGGAGAAGGTATAGTTTTAAAATCATAATTCAACTCACCAAAGAATATTAACTTTTGTATTGCAAATCTGCACTAAAAGCAAGTAAACAAATAGCCCTCCAGAAATTAAGCCTGGTGTGACAGTGCACACCTGTGACCCTTGCACTAAGAGGGGCTGCTGGGACATCTGAGTCCAGCCTGGGCAACCTGGTCACTGGGTAAGACTGGCTCAGAGGCTACAGCTCAGCGCAAAGGCCCTGGGTTGAATTCCCAGGACTGTAAAAACAAAGCTGTAACTTAGGGATACACTGCTCCTGGGTTTGATACCTACGGGCCATAAAGAAATAAAAGGAAAAGAGTTTGCAACATGACATAAAACGTCAGGCCTGGCATGGTGGTGCACTCCTGTAATCCCAACACTGGGGAGGCTGAGGCAGGAGGATGCTTCGAGTTCAAGAACAGCTTAGGTTACAAAGTGAGCTCAAGGCCAGCCTGAACTGCACAGCAAGACCCTTTTTCCCCCTCGGAACTGGCAATGGAACTCAGGCCCTTGTGCTTGTCAGGGAAGCACTTATTCTACTGAGCCATCTCCCCAGCCCCAAGACCCTGTCTTAAAAAAGACCAAACAACCACAACAAAACCAAAACAAAACACAAAACCAAAAACAACCCAACATATTTGGACAGGACTGATGACTTTTTGTGGTTTTTTTTTTTTTGGTCTTTTTCACACAGGATCTTGCTGTGTAGCCCAGGCTGGCCTTAACTTGCAGTAATCCTGTCTCAGCCTAAGAGCTGGATTACAGGTGTGTGCCACCCTTTCCTTGCCCATAAGCAGAAGTTTTTGATTAAACTTAGGATTTTGTGTATGTCCCCTACCACTGAGCTACATCTCCCCATACCCTTGAATTTTTTCAAGAGTGTGGAAAGATCCTAAGATTATGCTTTGAAAAACACTAGTCCAGCTAGGCTGACTGCATAGGATTATTTTTTTTTTGGTACTGGGAATCAAACTCAGGGCCTCACACTTGGTAGATAGGTGCTGTGCCAGTGAGCTATATCCCCAACCCAGGCTGACTGCATAGGAAGCACCTAAGACCAGTTTTTGGCCATGGTTTCAGTACAATGTGGGTGATTTTCCAGTTCTTTGGGAAAACTAGGTGACAGATTTAACATAAAGAAGGTGAAGGAGGGGCTGGCGAGATGGCTCAGTGGTCTAAGGCACCTACTTGGAACGGGCTTGGCAAAGCACAGGGACCGCGGTTTGATCCCCCAGCGTCACATGCCAGCCGGCCCCGCCCCCTGGTGGGCTGAGCTGGCCACACACACACACACACACACACACACACACTAAATAAATAAATGGAAAAAAAATTAAAAAAAAAAAAAGGTGAAGGAAAGTGACCACACTTTTGTCCTTTCCAATCCTCTGGTAAAACCCCAGAAAGTTGTGTCGCAAATCGAGAGTAAACATAACCATCACCACTGTGCCTGGGGGCAGCAGGAGATCTCGAGCATGACCCCCGCCCCCAGCGGGTACAAGCCACTTACAGAATCACACAGTCATTCCTTCCCCAGTTAAACTCGCAGTCACTCCTGTGATACCCAAACCAGAATTGAAAGCTTTTCCCTAGCACCGCATATGACGAGGAAGAAACAAAGCAAAACCACTCCTGGAAACCTCTGGCTCCATGTGGTCTAGAAGACTATGGTTTTATTCTGGGTCTTATATTATTTTTCTTGGTATTGAGAATTGAACTCAGAACCTCACACTTGCCAGGCAGGCATGATACCACCAAGTTAAATTCCTGGCCCTTTGTTTTTTTTTTTTTTAATTTATTTAGTGTGTGTGTGGCCAGCTCAGCCCACCAGGGGGCGGGGCTGGCTGGCATGTGGTGCTGGGGGATTGAACCGCAGTCCCTGTGCCCTGCCAAGCTTGTTCCAAGTAGGTGCTTTAGACCACTGAGCCATCTCTCCAGCCCCTGCTAAGCTTGTTCTAAGTAGGTGCTCCAGACCACTGAGCCATCTCACCAGCCCCACCCTTTGTTTTTCTGACAGGGACTCACTTCTGTAGCCAAGGCTGTCTTGACCTTGCAGTGATCCTCCTGCCTCAGCTTCCCAAGTGATGGAATTACAGGTGTGCACCACTATGCCCAGAATGAATGTTTATTATTTTCATTTATATATTTGGTACAGGGTCTCACTACACAGCTCAGACTTGTAGTGATCCTGTCTTCAGCGTCCCGAGCTGGGATTATAGGCTTGGGCCACCACACCTGGACTTGGTCATCGGCTCAGCACACCCTAGGGGCGGGGCTGGCGCGGCTCATGGGACCAGGGATTGAATCCTGGTCCCTGCACTTGCTGAAGCAGGCCCTTTGTCTGCTGAGCTATCTCACCAGCCTTTGAATAAGTAATTTCAAACTGAACTAAGATCAATGCTTGGGTGCTGAATGCAGCGGTTATACTCCTGAAATCCTAACTACTCAGAAGGCTGAGGCAAGAGGACTGCAATTTGGAGGGCAGGCTGGACAACTGAGTAACTTAAAGTGGAAAGTAAAAAGGGCTGGAGATGTAGCTCGGCAGTCAGGTGCCTGTGGGCTCAATCCCCAGTATTGGGTAGGGGACTAATTCCTGGTGGAAACCACTGGCTTCCTAATCATCTGCACAGATCTGCAGGGTCCTGATTCGGGTTGTAAGATGCAGTTTCTGAATGCTAGGACCCTCTGCTCAAGATAAATCTTCAAGGAAACAACTAAAACTCTCAGACAGATTTGTTGAACTCGTGATCAGCAGCCCTGCCTGAAACCAGCACTAGCGCCCAAAGCCAGGAAGTTGGCTTCATCTATGATGGATACAAAGTGCAGCGCCAGTGTGAACTGTCACAGAAGCTTTATTACCACAGTGGAAAGCGGGGGCACCAGGGAGCCCCATGTAGCCTGGACAGAGCATCGCCAGGGAGGCAGCAGCTTCTGGAGACACTGCCGTCCCATCCACATCTCAAAAACTTGCTTAGGGAGAGGCCTCTGCTGGAATGGTGACTGCATGGGGCTCTGAGGCCAGCCAGGACAAGCAGGCCTCCCCTGGGCAAGGACAAGAGCTGCGGGCAGCTCCGTGAAATGGGAACCGAGTGTGGCGCACGATGGTGGAAGTGTGGGGCACCGTCACAACACAGGGGCAGAGGGGGCGCTGGGCTCTGCCGGGCAGCCATCCTGTACATAAGATGCTTTGACAGTTAAGCATTGGTGGGGCCTCGCCCCCTGCAAACAGCAAGCAGTACACACTTCTTCTTAGAACTTGTTATTTTGTTATCTATTATTATTTGGATTTTGAACAAAATTGATGGAATAGGAGCCAGTGGAGGAATCTTGTTTGATCTGGAAATTTTCTGTGGAGAGCCCAAAAGGTCGAAGAACCAAGTTCCCAAGATCTTTTAGTTTACCTGCAAAGTAAAAGCAAAAATTCAGAATACAGGGTGGACAGAAGCAAGAGGACATCAACTGACCTTGTCTTGCCTGATGACAAAATAGGAGCAGCAGCCCTATGCAGTCAGAGCTGCCTGTCCTTGGTGGCATGAGGCCTTTTGGGCACACACACACACACACACACACTCTCTCTCTCTCTTTCTTTCTCTCTGTCTCTCTTTCTCTCCCTGGTGGTGCCAAGACATGACATTCTATGGGGCATGGCTTGAGTAGGATGGGCAGAGAGCAGGAATCTTGTGTGATTTTCGTGGAAGAATTAATCTGAACCAGGCACTGGGGGACGGGGAGGCCCAATGTGTAGGGGTGGTCAGCGCAGGTGGGACAGAGAGCCATGTCCAGCAGGGCAGACGGGTAGGACGGGGCCCAGGCCTGCGCTCTCGTAAGCCAGGCGGGTGGCCTACAGCTCTCAGGCTCCTGGAGGCCACCAAGGCTTGGAGGACTGAGCTTTCAGGGAGTACTCTGCAGGAATGTGAAGAGAGGAGGGGAGGCTCTGGTAGTTATAAAACTCACACTGCATTAGGGAAGAGGCCATTTCTTCAGTGAACAAACACTGACAATGTTGAACAGAGCAGCCCGAGCACCGCCATGGCCAGAGGGACATGAAGGCACACAGCCAAACAGTGTGATCTGCACAGTTCCCTTTTTGCGAACATTGGCAGATCGGCAGCGTCCTTCAGGGGAGATTACGCTCAAGATCCCCAGTCACTCCTGAGCACTCCTGCCTCTTGCCGACAGCCAGGCTGGGAGCTCAGACTGAAGAGGCTCCCCCCGCCCCACTCCAAATAGGGCCATTTAGCAAACTAGCTGACCTGCTACACTTGCTGCCAAACTGTAGGCCTTCCCTGTCTGGACAGTAGCCGCTGGGCTTCCGTTTCCACTTACAGCAAACCTGGTCCCTTCCAGCGGCTGCAGGTGTTGGCACCTCCCTCTCCGTAGGACCCTACTCATCAGGTGAGGGGAAAGGCTGCAGCCTACGGTGCTCAAGGAGACTGCTCAGTGCCGGGCGTGGTGGCTCGCGCCTGGCATCCCAGCAATGTGGAGGCGGAGGCAGGAGGATCCCTGCGAGTTGAGACCAGCCTGGGCTACAGAGTGAGTGCAAGGCCAGCCTGAACTGCGCATAAGACCCTGTCTCAAAGAGACCAATGCTGCACAGAACAAGTTGTGAGCAATATTAATTTTTCTGCCTCCAAGCAACACTGGGCAGCTACCAACTCATTCGTTAAGCATAATTTCTCTTGGCACGCAGCTACCACACAAGGCTGTACACCTTGAGGATAATTAGGAATGCCATTCGTTTTCCTCTCCTTACGAGTGTGGAGTTTCAGTACAGTGGCCTCATCCCTTTGGGCCCTTCTCCTCCACTTAGAAGAATCAAACTGCATATAATGGAACCCTGATACCGAGCTTCCTCTTATGAAGCAGGAAATGTGTCACAGTGTAATTTCACTTTTCTTTGAGCAAAAGGCAAATTAGGGGAACACAAAGCACAGAGAAGATAAAACTCCCAATCCAAGTTCTTTTTTTAGCTCTGGGAGGAAAGTAGAGGCTGACAGAATCCTTACCAAGAACTGTCAAAGTAGCAAGAGAGAAACAAACGGGGCACTGAAAAAAGCATCAATATCTCCTAATGGGAGAACAAAGGCCAGCAACTGTAAGGAACTAGGAGGAATGTACAAAATTTTGGCCATACAGCATGCGATGAACGCTAGACGCAGGCTGGCCAAGTAGCTCAGTGGATCATAGTGCCTGCTTAAATAGGCAGATGCAGGGGCCTAGGTTTGATTCCCAGCTTGCCCTGCTGGCCCTGCTCCTGGGGCGAGCTGAGACAGCAATTGAGACTGGGTGTGGTGGCGTGCGCCTGTAATTCCAGCTCTTGGGAGGCTGAAAACATGAGAATCGCTATGAGTCTGATCTACATAGTGAGAGACCCTGCAGACCCTGTACCAAATACATTAAAAAACAAACAAACAACAACAACAAAACAAAAACAAAAACAAACAAACAAATGCTAGACAGGGTGGCATGAAGAGAAGAGAGAGAGAGCAGGTAAGGAAGAGAGATAGTCTGTCTCAAAGACAACAAGGCCAAGCACAAACAGACAGGACTGGCCGGGCATGGTGGTGCACTTGGGAGGCCGGGGTTAGCTTGAGGTACACAGTGAGACCCTGTCTCAAAACAAAGAAAACATAAGCTAGAGAAAACCAGGCAGCTTAACCAGAATATGTTAGGTCTCTGCCCAGCAACCTCACTCCTTTTAAGCAGCCTGCTTATGAGAGGACTTCTGATTTCAACTATAAAATGTTTTGGGAAACAAATAAGAGAACTAAGTAAGTGGTCCAGTGAATCCACTTCTATTCCCTTGATCCTTTTACTATTTTCTCCTACTTCTTGTCTCTGATGTCCTCTCACACACTTGGGGAGCCTCAGCGCCATTTCTGAGGTGAACGCTCCCTGACGCTCAGCTCTAATGATTGCATCTTCAACGTGTTACTCAGGGAAGACACACAACTGTAGGAAATCTCGGGCAGAGCGTGGGGCAGAGCACGGGGTGTTCTAGCGTGACAGCTGAACTATCGCTGCACTCCTGAAAGTTTCCAGAAAGACCATGGAAACTTGGTTTCTGAAAAAAGCTGACAGCCTCTCTAAATCATACTGTTCTTTTTAAGAGTAAAATGGCTAAAAAAAATGGCCAAGCCCCCTCCTATCCCAAGGAAGGGCCTCAAAACTACTCCAGTTGCTGTGCTCTCTTCTAGTAAATAAAAGTACTAAAACCCCACCCTCGTTTCCCACCTGTTTATGGTCAAGAGAAGGAAAGGGGAACAAACTTACCTAACATCTCTTCTTTTAGCCTTTCATTACGTTCTTCAATTTGCTTAGGTAATCTCTGAGGGAAAAACCAGAAACAAGGATGGGTGAAAAATTCCTTTGCCTTTATTCTGAATTTTGGAAACATTTAAAACCCAATGTACAAGGGCTGGACAGGTAGCTCAGCAGACTAAAGTGCCTGCTCAGGCAGTCGCAGGGGCTGGGAGTTCAATCCCCAGTGTGCCATGCTGGCCCTGCCCCTAGGGCACAATGAGACAGCAATTGAGACTGGGTGTGATGTTGCGTGCCTGTAATCCCAGCTCTTGGGAGGTTGAACACAGGTGGATCACTACAATTCCAATCTACGTAGTGAGACCCTATAGGCCCTGTACTAAAAAAAATACAAAAATAAATAAATAAAATAAAAACCCAGTGTACAAAGATCAGCCTGGAGATATGAATACAGTGGTACCTCAATTCATGAACTCGATTCTTTCCACAATTCTGGTCTCTAACTGGTCAAAAGTGAATCAAACTGAATGGTTAGGTTCAATGTTGACCTTTTGGGGAAATCTGATTCCACTCACAACCAGAATTGTGGTATTTATGTCTGTGGGTAAGCTATGCAAGAGTCTCAGTTCTCAGCAGAATGCCTAGATGATGGAGGACCTCAAGGAAAACCCCATCTCCTGAAGCCAGGCGAGGCAGCACACACCTTCACTAGCACCCAGGACCTGAAGCAGGAGCATCATAGGTCTGAGCCAATCCGGGCAGATCAATGATTCAATGAGGCCCCATCTCAAAAACATAGAAAGGCCTGAGGATATAGCTTGGAGGTACATGGCCTCCTTCTGGTCTCAGAAGGCATGAAAACTGGTAAGAAAAGTAGCTGCCAATAGTTCAACATCTTATTTATTTATTTATTGTAGAACTGGGGATTGAACTCAGGCCCTTACCCTTGCCAGGCAAATGCTTATTTCTTTTCTTTTTTTTTGCGGAACCGGGGATTGAATTCAGGCCCTTGTGTTTACGCAGGAAGCGCTTATTCCACTGAGCCATCTCCCCATCCCCCAAGTGCTTATTCAATTGAGTTATCTTCCTGGCCCTTTGCCAATAGTTTAGATCTGATGTTAAGAACTATTCTTCTGCTCCAGGTCATATTCAAATTAATCTTACTACCATTCAGAGATATGTTAACAAAACTGATAAAGATTTTTTTTGGCCGAACCGGGGTTGAACTCTGGCCATTGAGCTTGCCAGGGAAGTGCTTATTCTACTGAGCCATCTCCCCAGCCCCCTGATAAAGACTAAAATTAGTTTCCAATTGCTTTTATATCTCAAACTATCAAAATCAGCCTGTCTCTCATTACTCTATGTCTACATATTTTATTTATGTAGACATTTGGTTAATTCACACCTGAGATAGAAGGAGCGCAGTGCCATGGACAAGCATAACAGGCATGTTTAAGGCAGGTGAGGGAAGCTTTGGCCGTGGAAAATGTGCAGAGCACATGAGGACAGAAGAGGCGCCCGTCTGGGAAAAAGGCTGGAGAAAAACAGAAATGCGAGGCCTGCAACGCTAAGAATCGGTGGGGAGCATTTCCCCAAGCTACGGTGAAATGCATTTCTGTCATTCCTGGAGACTGTAGGGCTACACCTGCCACTTTCAGCAGGGTTACATGGCACATGGTCATCGTGCACCTGTGGCCACCACTTCAAAGGCTGAGCTCCCCGATATTTCACTCAGCTTAAGTGGAATTCAGTTATATCCCAAAAGATAATTTAAGATTCACTAAATAGTTTTACCATACAAGCTTCTCTTGCTTGATGCACGGATGGATCCTTTTCTAGTATAGTTTTATAGTCTTCCAGGGCTTCATCTAGTTTGTCCGTCTTCTCGTACAGCTCTGCTCGCCTCAGTATCGCCCTGATGTAGCTGGGATTTAATTGAATTGCTGCAAAAAGAGATAATGATTTCACAAAAAGAAGAGGCCCATGAAGCTTCGGCAGGACTGAATTCACTCATCAACCATCTGCCGAGGGTCAGAGTCTGTGCCTGCAGTTGGCAGACGGTTTTCTGTCCAGAGTAAAACCATAAAGATTTCCAGACCCGCAGGCCAGAGATACAGCCTTTGCTGCACTTCCCAGCTACGCCTGCAGCCCAGCGGCAGACAAAGATCATACGCCCACACGGGCCACTGTGCCTACACACCCTTGCACCTGGGCCTTGCAGTTTCAGTTTAAAGTAATTTGCACATATCATGAAATACTATTTTTCTTTTTTTGGCTGGCTCAGCCAGCCCTAAGGGTGGGACTGGTGTGGTGTGTGATACGGGGATTGAACTGTGGTCCCCTGCACCTGCCTAAGTTTTGCCTAAGGAGGTGCTTTAGACCGCTGAGCTATCTTGCTGGTCCACTACTTTTCTTTTGACTTAATTTCTAATCTCTGTAAATGTAAAAGTCATTGTTTGCTTGTGGGTGCTATAAAAACCGGTTGCAGGCTGGATTTTTTTTTTTTAAATTTTTATTTGGTACAGGGTCTCACTACACTGCATGCTGCTTGGACTCAGTGATCCTCCTGCCTCAGTTTCCCCAGCATTGGGATTACAGGCATGCACCACCACACCCTGGCTCTGACTGGCTCAGCTCACCCCAGGGGTGGGGCTGATGCAGTATGTGATGCCAGAGATCAAACCTTGGTTCCTGAGCTTGCCTAAGCAGGTGCTTTAGTCTGCCGAGCTATCTCTCTGGCCCCTGCAGGCTGGATTTGGCTTCTGCTTTTAGTTTGCCAACCTGGGCACATGCCCAGGCCTGCTTTCTGCTTCCTTGTCTTCTAACCAGTTCAGGACAGGCAAGATACAGATTCAGCGCACAGTGGATAGAAGAGCCAGATGTCCAGGGGCGCTGCAGGGCAACGCTGGGGTTAGTCCTGCCATTCTCTTTTTTCTAGGACTAAGCTACCAAGATCACACTTCTATTTTTTTTTTTCCCCCTCAAGCACATTTATTTCCTATATCAGGTGGAGACAGAGGACAATTCAATACACATTTGTTCAACAATTACTATGTTATACCTTATGCAGTTGTTAAAAAGCTTTATAGTACATTATGAATAACACAGTCCTGGCTCTTTTTAGCACATCAGAGCCTTCACACTGTATCTCAGTTACTTTTCTCTTGTTGCTGGGACAAAGTACCTGACACCCAAAATTAAGGAGGGAAAGGTTTAATTAGAACACAGTTTGTGGAGGTTTCAGTCCATACACAGCTGGCTCGAAGGCAAACTGGCACACAGCAGAGAGCAGCAGTTCATAGCAGCAGAAAACAGCAAAATAGAAAGAGCAAATGGGAGGAATAGCAGCAATTATGGCAACAGGGAGCAAGTCTTCCTCCTCCTTATACTGCCTTCAGGCCATCTGCCCCAGGCTGGGTGTTACACTCACACCCATAATCCCAGCAGTACTCAAACCCATAATCCTAGCTTTGGATCATGAGTCAATCACAAATTCCAGAAGCCACCTCATGCCTCATGACTGCATGAGGCTTTGGGGGGATAACTAGACACAAACCCTAACACAGATACTAAAATAAGGCCAGTGATAGTTAATTTTATATATCAACTTGACGAGTTCATGGTCCTGTAGACATACATTCTGAGAAGTGTGAAGAATGTTCTGGATGGGATTAACATATGAATCTGTGGTCCTTGCACAATCAATTGAAAATCTGAGTCAAACAAAAAGGCTGTGAAAGAAGGAATTGCCTGTTCCTGACCACTTGATTTGGGTCATCAGTTTTTTCCAGCTTTCTCACTAGAAATACGGAGTTTTGGAGAGTCTACAGCCTGCCAGCTTTTAGACTGAAATTTACATCATCAATTTTCCTGATTCTCAGGTGTTTCCGCCAGGACTGAGACTACACATTGGCTCTCGGGAGTCCCCGGGTTATGGACAGCAGATCTTCATATTTTTCAGTCTCCATAACTACTTTTTTTTTTGAGGTACCAGGGATTGAACTCAGGACCCTGTACTTGCCAGGCAAGCGCTTATTCTACTGAGTTATCTCCCCAGGCCTCCATAACTACTTGAGTCAACTGCTTATCCTATAACTCTCCCCCTTGCACACAAGCGCACACACACACGCACACACGGTTCTGTTTCTCTACAACCCTCTCATACAAGAAGCAAATTCCAAACTCCTCAGCATGGCCTAAATACCCTATATGACCTGAATCCTCATTACCATTCCAACAACATGGCCACCCCTCCACCCCTCCAATCTCACTGGCCTCTTCCCTTTTTTCACACACAAGAGACTACCCCTGTCAGGGGGCTTCTACTCACTCACTCACTTATTCATTGATAAGTGCAAATAATTATTGAGTTCCTACTATGGATATAGCACTGTGGTAAAGTAGTAGGAGTAAGATCACACTTCTAGATGAACTCTCCATGGCCCTTAACAGTCCTGCTTTAGGACCTTTCAGTCATTTTGCAAACTGTGTTTCCCTCTACTCAGCACCAACTGCCCTAATCATCCCTTGGTGTTTCTGGTTTTTTTTTTTTGTTTGTTTGTTCATTTGGTTGAGACAGGGTCTTGTTTTGTAGCCAAGACTGGCTTGGAACTCACAGCGACCCTCCTGCCTCAGTCTCCAGAGTGCTGTAATTACAGGAGTGTGCTAGTATGCTCTTATCTCTGCTACTTCCTTCTGAGCCATTTTTTTTCTCTATTAGATAGCTATGTCCCAGCTCTAAAACATTTTTGCCTCTTCATACAATACACCCTTAACTTTCATTCACTCATGCTCTTAGCAAACACTTATTAGTAGCTAATCTACATGTCTAATTAGTATGTCAGGGGTACTGTGGCAAATAGGACAAAGTCCCTGTTCTTTTTCTTTTTCTTTATTTATTTACTTATTGCAGAACTGGGGACTGAACTCAGGCCCTTGCGCTTGCCAGGGAAGTGCTTATTCCACTGAGCCATCTCCCGGGCCCAAAGTCCCTGTTCTGACGAAGCTTCCTGCTGTTCCAGTACAGTGAGAGCAGGCAGCCAGCTAGGGAAAAACTTCACAAGAGCACCACGAGGAGACGAAGTGACGCGCACACAAGAGACATGGCAGCTCAGAGCGTGTGGAGCAGGAGTACGAGGGAGGCTGGTGGCCCCGCAGAGGGACAGCAGGAACACAGGCCCTGAAAGAAGGGCCATCCTGGCCTGTAACCAGCACAAGGTCTGCAGAGAGATGAGGCCCAAGACACAGGAAAGGGTCAGGTCAGGGAGGGCCTTCTGGGCAAGGGAAGGGAGCTGGGGCTATCCCCAAGGCAAGAGACGAAGAACTTTCTCTGAAAAATTTACTCATTGATTTACTGTAGCCCACAGAAAAATTAAAAATAACTAATGAGTAAGGAGACAATTACATGAAAGCTTTGATGACAATTATTACAATTAGTTAAGAAGCATTGAGTCTAAAATTGTTACATGCAGGGTAATGAGACTAAATGTAAAAATAGATTTGTAAGACAGATCTAAAATGTTCAGGATGTGCAGTTTTCTTCTTCCTTTTTAACTGAGACTTGGGCTTGCTATATATAGTTCAGGCTGGGTTTGAACTTACTACATAGCCCACGTTGGCCTTAGACCTGAAGAGATCCTCCTGTCTCAGCTTCCTGAGGGCTGAAATTATAGGCATGTACCACCACACCCAGGTAGTTCATGTTGTTTTAAACTGTCAAAGTACAGGCCAAATATTCAATGTATTAGACAAATAAATACTGTTTTATTTTTACCACATAGTATTAAAGATGCATATCGTTACTATTACTACTACTACTATTATCATTATTATTGTAGTTGTTTTGGTTTGAGACAAGGTCTTGCTGTGCAGCCTGGGCTGGTCTCAAACTCATGGTAATCATCCTGCCTCAGCCTCCAAGTGCTGCAATTACGGGCTATGACACCCTGCCTGGCTAAAGATGCAGGTTAAGCCAAATTATGTTAAAAGTGCTTCAGCACTGTGGATAGGACAAGTGCAGTAAAGACATTCCAAATGTTAATATGACAAAGCTAGAAAATGTATAGTTTCATTTTTCTTAAGAAACCAACCAAGTTCATAAAGTGAATACTGATAGAGTAAGAAGAAAATTACCAAAACTATGGTTGAAGAGAGGTGGCTGTGTTTGATCCACTAAATTTGGAAAACTAGGAATTATTGTCACAGATGGTAGATGTCATAGTATGTGTCTAGCTGTCCCTGCAAAACCTCATGTAGGGGCTGGTGAGATGGCTCAGTGGTCTAAAGCACCTACTTAGAACAAGCTAAGCTCAAGCAAAGCACAGAGACCTCGGTTCAATCCCCCAGCACCACATGCTGGCCCGCCCGCCCCCTGGTGGGCTGAGCTGGCCACACACTAAATAAATAAATAAGTAAATAAATAAATAAATAAATAAAACAAAACAAAAAATCTCATGTAGTCATGGGGTGGCTTCTAGAGTTTATGATTAATTCCTGATCCAATGCTGGGATTATGGGGGTGAGTGCTCCACCTGCCCTGGGGCAGAACATCTGCACACCAATGTGAGGAGGGGAGAGAGGCTAGCTAGCTGCCACAGCTGCTGCTCCTCCTTTGCTCTTGGCTTTCCCTACTCCATGAGTAGCTGCCTGCTGCCACGTGCGCTCTGCCTTGGAGCCAGCTGAGCACAGCCGAAACCTCTGCCATCTGTGAGCTAAGTGAACTCTGCCTTCCTTAATTTTGGGTGTTGGGTATTTTGTCCCAGCAATGATGAAAAAGTAACTGAGACAGTAGATCATGTCTTCTGTACTTGAGCTGAAGACAAAAATAGCTCATATATATTCCAAGTGTCTGTAATAGAAAAGTAAAAAACATAAAAAGTAGTAAAAGAAAAACAGCAATGAAGTATTAAATTAGCACAAAAGATATTAACAGAGAGATAGAGGT